AAGGAAGGAAGAAAGAAAGAAAGAAAGAAAGAAAGAAAGAAAGAAAGAAAGAAAGAAAGAAAGAAAGAAAGAAAGAAAGAAAGAAAAAGAAAAGAACCCATTGAGTCCAATTTGTTCTGCCCATATACTTCTGGGTGGGGGCCATTCACTGGAATGCGGTCAACCCACCAGGGCCCACACCTTTTAAAAAAGCCCAACTGACTCTTCCTTTCTGAGAAGCCATCAACCGAACAGAGTTCCTCAGTTCCTGTTGGATAATTTTATATTTCCTTTTAAGAGATTTTTTAAAATTTTATGTGCATGAGTGTTTTGCCTTCATATATGTATGTGCGCCGTGTGTGTACCTGATGCCCTCAGAGGTCAGAAGAGAGTGATGGTTCCTTTGGAACTAGAGTTATGGATGGTTGTGAGCCACTGTGTAGCAGCTGGTAACTAAACCCGAGCTCTCTGCAAGAGCAGTCAGGTTAACTGTTAGCAGCCAGTTAACCACTGAGCCATCTATCCAGCCCCAATTTTGTATTTCTTATTTAACCAAAATATTTGCCAATGAATGACAACCTTACTTTTCTTTATTACCACTTTCGGGAGTAGGGGAGGATACAATAACGACAGGTTTTATTTATTCTATATCAACAGTCTCCATTGTTGTTTTTCTTAGACTCTTTCCCTAAGTTACATCTACTTTTCCAAGGTAGACATCATACCATTTCAAGGAACTCTCATTCTTCTGAGAATAAGAGATCTCTCTAGTTCCCCAGGGTCATTGCTCAGAGACCTGGAAACATAGACACTTCCCATTAAAATTTCTTTGTCAGGCTGCTGCTGGTAGAGTAGAGAATGGTGCAGTGCCTCGTTACTTGTAATTTATACCTTAGGCTAACCTTTACAGCACACTCATGCTATGCCAGGCACCGCTGTAATCATTTCTATTTATCACCTTTCAATCCCCCCAAACAATCACTTGTGGCAGGTATCACTATTCCCATTTGATAGATAAGGAAACAGGAGCCCAGAGAGATTAAGTGACTTCTTCGAGCCTATACAATTAAGAGTGATAGGGATGAGATTTGGATCCAGGTTCAACTCTAGGGTGCACACTTTTAACCATTACACATTCTTCCTCTCTAGCCCACCATAATAGCATCTGTCTTTGGTTTCTGATAATCATGATCCCCTTTGCACTACCCATCTTTATTCAGACATCCCTTTGCTTTCATCATTTCAGACTTCTTATTGTTGTTTAGAATGCCATGCATTTGTATGCCCTATACTTTTTCCTGAGATTATCCTTTACTTGACAAGGTATGTCCTCGTTTATTAAGCAAACTTCTATTTCTCTTCAAACTCAGTAATCATCCCTTCTGTAACTTTTTCTCATTGGTAATTATACAATCAGTCACTCTCCTACTTATATTTACATAATACTTTCCATAATTCAGTAATTCTGCTTATTAATTCATATTACTGCAATTGTATTAGTGTTTTCCCCAGTTAATCATAAAGTCTGGAGGCAGAGGCTGTGTTTTGTCTATTTCCAGAATAGAGAATGGTACCTAGTACACACTATGCCAGTATGGGTTGCAGTGAATTGAATGGCAATCCCCTTCTTACTGCTTGTTTAATATGTCCAGTTGGCTCTCTGTGTTAATATAAATTCTATATATGACATCTAGAGATTAAATTATCATTTCCCCTCCATGTCTAATCTCCACTTCTGATTTACTATCTTGTGTCAATAATGTTATTATAGTTATTTGGGTTTAGTAACTTTTTTAAAACAAGTTTTTTTTCTTTATTTTAATTTTGATATTATAATATAATTACATAATTTCCTCCTTCCCCATCTTCTTTCCTACCTCTTCTATATACCCCTCCCTACTTGCCTTCAAATTTATGGCCTCTTTTTTCACTAATTTTTACATGCATATATGCATATACATAAATAATCCTAAATACAGTCTGCTCAATCTGTATAATATTACTCATATGTATATTTTCAGGGTTCACTGTTTGGAATTACATAACCAAGTGGTGTGCACTTCCCTGGGGAAGACTATTTCTCCCACTCTCAGCATTCCTTAGTTGCCTGTAGTGCTTTTTGTAGTGTTGAGGTCTCATGGTCTCCCTCCCCCTCATCCATTTTGGCATGTCTGTTGTTGTCCTTGTTCAGCTCATGTCTAGGCAGTCATGTTGGTGAGACTTTATGAGATCACTAGGAAACAGTCTCACACCAAACTTGTCCTTCATAGTCCATGTAAATTCTCAGTAGTCCCAAAGTCCTTTTCTATTGTCATTTCAATCTCCCTAAAGTTCCTCTAGTAATGAAATGAGGATTTAAGTCAAGTTGCCAATACATTGAGTCCTTGATTGACCTTTGCATACTTTTGAAAAAGCCTCTTTAAGCTCTCTGCCCTCAAAATCATTCTTATTGCCATGCAGCCCCATAACTCTTCCTTTGCCTTCTTCATCAAACATTTATTAAGCACCTTTTGTGGGATGCAGTCTGCTAAGGCCATGTCTTCAATAATTAGCTATCTAGATGAAAAAGAATGGGGCGTGTGTGTGTGTGTGTGTGTGTGTGTGTGTGTGTGTGTGTGTGTGTATACACATGTGTATGTCAGAAATCAATCACAGTAGCATAAGGTAATTACCAGCTGATCTATGCTAACTATAAACACGGAAACTGAAAGAAAATACCATGCTCTTAGTGAGCAAGTGGAAAAGATCCAGAATAAGATGGGATGTACTAAACTTTGAAGGAATGTGTTGGAGATTTAAAAGTTAAAAAGGAAGGAAATTTCAAGTCAAACAATAAGGTTTAAATGAGACACCATGTCAAGAACTTTACTCTTTATGCAATATATTCCTGAAAATATTCTTTTTAAGATTTAGTTTTTTTCTTTTTATGTATGTATATATAACTGTGACTGTATGTACATGTTGGTGGTATATCCATAGAGGCCAGAAGAGAATGGAGCTGGAGTCACAGGTGGTTGTGTGTGGCCTGACATGAATGCATAGGAACTAAATTCTAGTCTTCTGAAAGGGCAGTAAACTCTCCTAACCACTGAACCATTTCTCCACCGAATACTTGAGAAGGAAAGTAAGATGATGGATGTCCTCAGTTAACTTTTTTTTATTAAGAGATTTTCTATTCATTTCACATTTCAATCACATATTCCCCTGTCCTTCCTCCTCCCACCCCCCAGCCTTTTCCTCCAACCCACTTCCCATTCTCACCTCCTCCAAGGAGAACTCAGTTAACTTTTTTAATGAAGAGGAAGTACCATTGGTTCAGTTGGGCTAATAACAAACTTAAAAATGACTTAAGTTATTGTGG